CAACCCAAGTAACTGTCAGAGCTTACGTGGCGTAGTGAAGACCAACACATGGTTTTCACCCTAGATCAACTGCCCGTGATCTTCAGAAGGTGGGTTGATTGAATCTTTCGGTGGTGGGTAGTTGCCTGATGACGTGTCTCCGCATGGGGGACACGTAGAGGATGTGGGGGAAGTGAATGAGCTTCCCCGTCAGGAAGGTCTTCAGCCCAACGCATGTGTCTGGTTGAGGTCAGTGCCCGACGGAAGAGGATTGGGCCTTGTTGGACATTGGGTTGGGCCTGCCGGGCTGAGGGGCAGTCCCGATCCAGTTCAGAACATATAGATTTTTTAATACTTGATTGCTAAAATGAAATACAATTTTCGAAGAATTATTTCCCGTACTTTATTTACTTGTTAATATCTTTTACTTTCCGCATCATTAAAATCAAACTTAAGAACATAGTGATCGTTGAATGACATTCTTTCCCTCACACCGATCCCTTTAGAGACGATAAAAACCCAAAGGAAATTCTTCCAAATCTTTTGCTTCTTGCCGCTATACTGCATTTTAAACACACACTTTCCTACTTGAGTTGTGAGGGAGAGATTTGTAGGATGAGTTCACTCTTACAGTGATTCCTACCATAAATTTAGAAAAAGAAAAGAAATTTTTTTTTTATGTGAATTAATTTATTTGGAGGGGAGGGGAGATGTTTCATTTTAATCATAGTTATATTTACACATTTACCCTTATTTATATATTTAAATATAAATTTAACTTATTAAAATATTAAAATTTATATTTTGAACAAATTTATCTTCCTTTTATATTTTTTTTGTATTTTTATATCTTCATCTTATTATCATTATATGTGTTTAAATTTTTTGATTTTATTTTTTATATTATAATGTTATTTTTTAATTATGTAATGTTATTGTTTATAATAATTTTTGTTAGATTTTATTATATTTGATAATCTTTTAAAATTATATATTATAATCGTTGCATTTTTATAAAATCTTTTATGATGCTCTCTAATTTAGTAATTAAATTTCGTCAATGATTTGTATTTGAATTATGAACGGTAAATATCAGGAGTCTTATGATAAAATTAGAAGGATAAAAAATGAATTATTTTTAAAATACTTCCGCTTCCCTGGTGGACCAAACATATTTTTAAATAAAATATCTCCACTCCCACCCTATTTAGTATTTTGAACCAAACATGTATATAATTAAAATTCATCCCACCATTCCTCTCACCTCCCATCCTCTTGATAAAAATCCCTCCCTTTCTCTCCCATCAATTGAACTAAACAGACCCTTACTTGATTTTATTTATATTCATGTCGAGTAGTTTTAGCTTTCTTCATAGTTGTTTTGCTATACACATATTTTATGGAGGAGTTGTTTGAAGCGTATTTTTCATCTTTATTGTTTATTGGTGAAGATTGTTATTCCTTGTGTTATTAAGAATACTTTTGTACACCCATTATTAATATAGTGGAAGATTTTACTGTATTAAGTCTCATAGTTTTTATTCTCTCATATTAAGGGACATTTTCCACATTAAAAATTTGGTGTTCTTGCTACTTTATTTTTTTGTTATTGTTATCGTGCTCTGGAATTGGTTATGCTGGTTGTCTGTTTAAATTGCACGTGTTTGAGAAATTATTATACTTGAAAAATATTTTGATTATTTAATTATTTTTCAACAAAATTTAGCCTTAGTATGTCTGAAACTAATATATTTTGTTGACTTTTGGTGTTTGACTTTAGTCTCGGCTAAACTGAAGCTCCCTGATTTTGTTGAGTTTTCAAATCTGACTTTAGCTTCGGTTTGGCCAAAACTAATATATTTTGTTGACTTTTGGAGTTTGACTTTAGTCTTGTATAAGCCGAAACTCCATGATTTTGTTTGCTTGTCAAATTTGACTTTAGCTCTGGTTTGACCAAAGCTAAAATATTTTGTTGGTTTTTGGAGTTTGACTTTAGCCTTGATAAACCGAATTTAATAAATTTTGCTGTCTTTTCAAATTTGACTTTAGTCTCGCTCTGACCCACACCATTCAGTTTTTGTTGAATTTTGAAATTTGTTTTTTAACGTTAGCTTCGGGTCCAGCCTTGACGTACAATCAGTCTAACCGAGGATACTGTAGACACAACTCCATTTAATGGACACTAAAATGTTAGCTTTTAGCGTTTTAGGCTACCCCGACACTGACACTAATCTTGATTTAACGTCGATTTTTTGACTTATAACAATGACAAACGTCTAAGACAAAATAATTTTTTTTTTAGTTGTGCAAATCCGATTTTTTTTATTAGATATATACATAATTATTTAAATCTAGACTCCGTTTGGTAAGATATTTATGGATCTTATAGCTTATGATAATAAAATACTTGTTTGGTAATAGTTTTTTCATCACGACTTTATAGTTTATTTTATTAGTTTATAACTTATGTTTCAAACTCTATTTCAAACAACCTTTTAACTTATCATGTTTTTCTTCATTTTTGCCCTTATTATTTTAACTAACATCCATCTCTACCCTTTATAATTTATTATAATTTAAAATAAAATAATAATTATTAAATATCTTTTATGTCATTTTAATTTATCAACTAATTAAATCGCTAATTTTATCAAATACTTCAATTAATTTATTAGTTATAAGTCATCAACCATCATTTACAAACTATAAGTTACCAGTCATAAAATATAAGTTATCAACCAATCGATATTTTATCGAACACAGTCTTAATATTATAGTTAACAACAAAAAAAATGTAATTAAGTAATGCAATTGAATAATATATTTTCCTGTTTTTAATTAATATATTTTTTGTTTATTTATAACTAAAATATGTGATTCTTTGACCAAAGAAAAAATTGAATTCCTTTTTGAAAATTATTAAATATGCCATGTATTCATTGATCTTGTAAAAATATTTTTAAATGTATTTTGTATTAAATTAAATCATGTCTTATAAAATTTATAAGCTAATTCATAAAAGCGAATTTTTTTATAATATATGTTTGATTTATCTTTTTAAAAGAGACAAAAAGAAATAAAAAGAAATTGATTATGAAATGATTTTAAGATGTTTTGTAATTCTAAAGTATAATAGATTTTACATTTAAAATTGATTCTATTTGAAGCTATAATTGATAACTTTTGAATTTAAAACACGATTTTTATATTAAAATCTGATATTCAACTTACTTTTACATAAATATATTTAAACATAAATTATTTACATTCAACTCACTTTTAACCAGAATCAATTATATAAAATTAATTCACTGCGTATTTGATAGATAAGATATAATTGAATATTGTAAAACTTATTTATGTTTAAATATATTTATATAAAAATTAATTGAATAACAAATTCTTGTATAAAAATAAAATTTAAACTCAAAAATTATAAATTATAATTTCAAATAAAATCAATTATATTTAAAAAGAATAAAACACCTCATAATTAATCTAGAATCAATTATATCCTCCTAGAATTATTATTATATCTTCGAAAGACAAATCAAAGTGTTATAAAATTATATTTGTAGATAAAGTTAAAAAAAAAAGCCTTAAGCTTTACAAATTTCATATAATTATTTAAATTATAATATAACATTAAATATTGATAACATTATAATATAATTAAATAATATATTTTGATGATAGATATTTTACATTAAAATAAACATGGTCAATTCAACACAACTTTAAACTAAAAAAAGTTGAAAATTAAAGAAGTAAATAATTTTATATTGTGCTATTCCAAATTTTAATATATATATTTATCAATTAATAATAAATTTAGTCTTTATGACAAATTTCTAAAATAATTATAGAAATAAAAAATTATATATCACATTACTTTTTTAACCACTCTCATTCCTTTTTTATTATATATATATATATATATATATATATATATATATATATATATATATATATATATATATATATATATATTTTTTTTTTTTTTTGTTGATATTTTCTCTTTCAAACCTACCCCTTTCTCTCTGTCTGACTCATCACATTCTTCCCTCCATTCTTTTCCCAAAAATTCCCTTTCCCTCTAAAATGGTAAGTTTTTATTTTTTATCTTTAAAAATAAAATTATTAAATCATATATTATTAAATCTATTATTTATTTCTGTCATTTTTGTTTCTTTTATTCTTCTCTCCGATTCCATACTCTTTCTTCATCTTGCAGTTCAAAGCAGCTTTTCTTTTTCCCTCCTTTCCCCGGTAATGTCGTTGCTACCATTTTTTTTCATCTCAATATCATTGTTTCAATCGTATAGTTTTTCTTCTGCAATTCATTATTATTATTACTTGTTGTTGATGTTGAAAATTTTCCAATTCTCGTTAATCTTTATTCGCTTTTTTTTTTTTTTCTTTCAAAAATTGGTTGATTGGAATTTCTAGGGTTCTTTCAGCTTCGGATTTGGTTCTTTGTAATTATTGATTACTTGTTCTGTTGTACAACGAGTACTGAACCTGTGCTAGCGTTTTGCGCATACGTTAATTTTCTGTGAGAATTTGCGTATTATTTGTTTTTTTTAAGTGATTAGTTCATCCTGCAATGACGCAGCAAAATGTATGTTTTTGAAAGCATTTTCCATTAACATTGTTATGTGCTTTTCATTTATACTATTTCACTATTTGTTGCTATGTAGCTCTGATGCCTCCGAGAAGATGCGTGACACTTCTGATTACGTTTAATTTATTCATTTTTTAAAATTATTACTGGTGTCAACGTGTCGGTGTCGGTGTTGTGTTTCCGGTGTTTGTGCTTCATAGAATTTGTGTTTTTTTTTCTAGCATAAAATGAAGCCAGATATAGTTTAGTTCATTTGTTGTGTTTTGTGTGGATATGGAGTGTTGACCGTTGATTCATTTTTTCAATTGTTGTTGATTCATTTTTTCAATTGTTTTTTCTTCTCAACGGAGCTTGTTTTTTTTTTTATTTTTATCAGGGTTAGGTTTTGTGTTAAACAATGAGCAGAGCAGCGAGTCGAAGTAAAAATAAAAGAAAGAGACAAGGGGATGACGATGATGCTGCAACTTCTGAAATATGGAGGTACTACTAGCTGATGATGATTTCTTTTTGTTTTTTAACTTATTAAATTGAGTTAAAATTTATTTTACTCTCTTTGTGTATTTTGGGTTTACTATCCTCTTTGTGTAGGAAAATACACAAAACAGGTGAGGTAAATGAAGATGAGATGAACCAACTGTATATGATTACAAAGCCAGTTTGTTCAGGCTGTCGTGTCAATACTAAAGACAACCCGAATTGCTTTTGCGCATTGGTTCCAGCTCCAAATGGAACCCGAAAGTCTGGCATATGGCAGAAGATATCTGATTTTGTTGAGAGTCTTGGCTTTGACCCAAACACGGAACTTCGTGCATCTGCTGATTCACCTGCAGGGCTCACAAATCTCGGAGCAACGTGTTATGCTAATAGCATACTCCAATGCTTGTATATGAATAAGCATTTCCGAGAAGGATTATTTTCTGTAGAAACAGATGTTTTGCAGCAACAACCGGTGTTAGATCAACTGGCTCGCCTTTTTGCACAGTTGCATTTAAGTAAAAAGGCTTTCATAGATTCTTCTCCATTTGTAAAAACGCTGGAGTTAGACAATGAAGTTCAGCAGGATAGCCATGAGTTCATGACATTGCTTCTGTCATTGCTTGAGCGTTGCCTTAGCCATTCCAAAATTCCCAAGGCAAGAACAATAGTTCAAGATCTTTTCCGGGGAAGTGTGTCTCATGTGACAACGTAAGAATTATTGTCTGTTAGAAAATTGTTGACTTGTGCATCACCATTCTTTCCTGCTAATTTATTGTATTATTGATCTTTATTGTGGTAATGGGGCTGTGAAATATCACGTTTTGTCTAATATGTAATATATTTTTTATTTTAAAATTTGACCCTTCTGTTGCCCTCTTCACAACACACTTAAGTATAAGAGAAACAGACAAGAACTCCATCTTCAGAAAATGTACGTGTTTGTAACATGTATAACATAATATAACACTGGTGGTTTGTTTGGCGTCCTTGAAATACTTTATCTGAAAAATATGTCATCGATATTAGCAAATGATGTTTTAATTGTAGTTTTGTGCTAATTTGGCTGTTGTATCATCTCTGAGGACTGATTGTTATTGATAATGTAATTATTCTTACTAGTTGTTCATACTCATTTTCTCATTATTGGTCAGAAGTCTCACTGTGCTGTGTCTAATCAAAGTGTCTGACATTTTTCCAACATGGCCCTTTCTTGAAGTGTCTGTTTCATAGGTCTGAATTGACTCTTGTGTTTTATGCTCAAATTTTCTCAAATAAATTTCTTTTATTTTCTACTCACTTATATTTATGTGTCTCCAGCATTTGTCATGTTTATGACTACACATTTGTAATTTCCTCACTTTATTATGAAGGTGTTCACAATGTGGAAGAGACTCAGAAGCTTCTTCCAAAATGGAAGACTTCTATGAGTTGGAGTTGAATGTCAAGGGATTGAAAAGTTTAGATAAGAGCTTAGATGATTACTTCACTATTGAGGAGCTTAATGGAGACAATCAATATTTTTGTGAGTCGTGTAAAACAAGGGTTGATGCTACACGCAGCATCAAGCTGCGGAAATTACCCGATGTGCTTAATTTTCAGCTGAAGCGCTATGTCTTCCTTCCAAAGGTACTGTGTAAAGTTTGAATTTTATTATCATTGTGTTGCTGTAAGCATTAAACAACTAAAGTCCTTGTGTTTTTCATTGTTTACTTCATTTTTTGGTTTGATTGTATATTTTTTTGGGTATAAGGGAGTAATTAATATAATGGGAATTTTAGGAACATACTCAAGTAAATACTTACCGAGACATAATTTTTAAAATTCTTCATAAAATATTGATTCTTCTGTCTAGTTCCCTATCATTAATTTTGGACTCGGAAAATTAGATTTCTTCTTTGCGCATCTGTACCATAGTCCTGAACGGCGTGTGTTTGCAAGTTTTCCTATCCATGCAAAAGCCCCTAATTGAATTTTTATAAGAATTCTTCCAATTTGCTTTTCAACGACTATTACTGTTCAAATCAAACACCCTGGTCTAAAAGTTATTTCAGAATGAACAACAAACAAACTTTAATTTGTTTTTCAGTCATGGCTTCTGTGAACTTTGCTTTGATTTTTATATGATGAAAGAGAAATATTTTTTAAGGGTTATACAGAGGGACAGTTTCTTTAGAGAGAAACTATCTTAGTAGCTACATGCTTTTTCTTTCGTTGGGCAAGCTTCATGCAAATGTGATTTTATTTTTATATATCAATATTTTTGGCACTATATGTTTTCTTCTTTCTAAGTAGTATATTTTGATTATCTGTATCACCGGACCTTTTTCTGATGTTGTCTTTTTCTTTCTTTCTTGTATCTCTGACAGACAACAACAAAGAAGAAAATTACTTCTTCATTTTCATTTCCTGCTGAACTTAGTATGCACGACAGACTCTCTGAGCTATCTCAGTCTGAATTGATATATGACTTGTCAGCTGTACTGATACACAAGGGAACTGCAGCTAATAGTGGTCATTACATTGCTCACATCAAGGATGAAAATACTGGGCAATGGTGGGAATTTGACGACGAGCTCGTTACTAGCTTGGGTAGTTGCCCATTTGCTGAAGAGGCTGCCTCTAAATCTGTTAAGAATGATGTAGAACATTCTAATTTCTCTGAAGCAAGGGTAGATGACAGTAATGGAAATGGTTTAAGTGTCAAAGTTTCAGAATCTTCACCTATGGAGACATTTTCATCTAGTGATGCATATATGTTGATGTACCATCTTAAGAATACCAAACGATTTAGTGAGAATGGGGGGATTGTTAATAGTGCTAACCATACTGAAAAAGATGCTGATTCAGTTATTGCACAAGTAAATGATTGTCTTCCTTCTCATTTTTGCGAAGAGATTCAAAATTCCAATGCCTTGTTTCTTGATGCTTGCCAGAAGTACAACCACAGGAAAGAGGTAGAATTGAGTTGTATCAAAGAAAGGAGAGAAGAAGTTCCTTCTGTTTTAGCTGAAGCTCCTGTTCAACCACTGGAGCAACCATTTTTTTGGATTTATAGTGACTGGTTTCGCCAATGGGCTGAAAATGTTACTCCAACGTTAGTGCACATGCTTTATGTATTCTTGGGATTGAGCATATCAATAATTATATTTTATTTGTGTGGCTAATTTCTTTCTTTGCCTCAGCTTATGGCACCTTTCTTCTATCATTTACTAGGGTAGAGTTATTTCACCTAACGTTATGGGATACTTGCTTTTTAATGTTAATGCAGGGCTATTGACAACACGCCTATCCAATGTTCACATGGTAAAGTTCCAGTTTCAAAGGTTACCTCAACAAAGCGACTGTCTTCTAAAGCATGGAATAAGTTATTGTCTAAGGTAAATGTATTTAGCTTTTATGATGCCATTCTTTTGATCTTCGAGCTCTTTTTAAAACAATATGAAAAATGTTCATTGGTATTTGTTATAAATGGTAATGTGGCCTGGGAAGGGATGGATTGAAAGATGATTTCACCTTTTCTTTCTAGGCTACTTATTATGATGGCTAATACCGGCAAGATAGATGTTTTTTTATTTATTTTAATCAGAGTGAGCACGAGATGATAATGGATAGGTTTTGGTAGAGTATTATAGTACTCATTCTGATTCCGTGTTTAAAAGACTATCCATATCCAAAACCATACCTGTGCGGGAAATAACTTTAATACCTGTACATATTATCATCACTCTAATAACTATGTAAAATCAGTAAACAAAAAAAGAACATTGATTAAAAAGTACAATTGTAACTCAATTGGGAAACAGTTCAAAGATCATTCAAATCTAATCATAAGTTTATTAAATACAACATACTATACTGTTTGAGCATTAAATAAATGTTACAACTAACTTTTTGAACAATAAATACATACATTTTCAAGTCTAGACCGATATTAGGTTTAGATTTTTTTTATTAAAGTGACACTAATGGCCATTTTTTCCGGGTATCTATTAGGTCTATTAGTATTACCCATTGCCATCCTTAGATACAGGAAAGAAGGGCGGGTAAGAACTAAAAAGTCATTCAATTTAACTGTTAGTAAAGTTAAGTAGAGGGATATTGTGTGTGAATATAATCAATAAGAATAGATGGAGGTATTTTGGAGATTGGATAGTTGTTGTGAAAGGAGAGATCCTTTGTGGAGAAACCCTTTGAGAATTTCATGCTATATTTTCTGGGTTCCTGACAACCTCAACAGAGGAAATTCAGTGTCCTATAGGTGAGTTATCAAAGAAGTTAAAGTAGTGGGCCGTGTTCATCATGAAGCACCAAACTTATCTTGTTTCTTGTGGGTTTGAGAGAAACATATGAATAGGTACTGAACATATTAACTAGAAAACTAACATGAATTGATTCTAAATCACTCCACTAGAAAGATAAATGCTGTTAGAGTATACTGATAAACTGAAATGAAAAGGTAACCATGAATTGTAACAGAGCTCCTTGTACAAAATGGTACTGAAAACGAGGAAGAAAACAAAATGACAAACCGGCTGGAGAAGGAACCCTTTTGCTTCTCACCCAGACTCGCCCAACCCAATTTTTTCTTGATTCTTGCATACCCTTCTTTTCTTCCTCTCACTATTTATAACCCTCAGTCCCTCACATATCCCCATTCTAACTAACCCGCCACGTGGCTTGTTTTGTTACAACCATAATACACTCATAGCCATGACAAGGGATCTATCACATTTTGGAAACGATAGTCTTTATGAAGTAGGTTAGTTTTTGTTTGTTCTGATGTGAGGAGAATGCAGTGCACATTGCTGAATGAATTGCACTATACATTAAATAATAGAAAGATTAAGCTTCTACTGAGATTTATGAGCTGCTGAATTATTCATTGTTATCTCCTATTTTGCCATTGTTGTTAATAGTATGTCTAACATATTTTCTTTATTCCCTACATTATTCAGTATGGTGGGGGACCAACGCTTTCTCACGATGACTGCTGTTGGGATTGTCTGATTGACGGGGCTCGGAATGTTGTGTCAGCTGACACTTATCGGGATCGAAGAGAATCATTTAAGCAACTTGCACGGGACATTCTTGATGGAAAAAAAGAAGATGGAAATAACTATGTGTCTAGATCATGGTATGATAACAAATCTTTTCTACTGTTATTTAAGTTCTATTTTGTTATGGAAATTGTTTGCTTTAAGGGGCCAGTATTAACTTAAGGACAAATAATATATTAACTTAAGAAAACACGCATAGATTTTTTTTATCAGACAAATAATATATTACCTTAAGGACCGGAAATGCTTGAAAAGAGTAAATTTTGGCAGTACAAAGACTCTAATAGCAAAAGGAAGGAGAAATACATATCGATTGATCCTTAACATGGAATTGCATGTGAATTGAATACTGAAAATTTTGATTGTTATTTTATTGTGGCGAGGGAACACTTGTATTAATAGGCTGTGTGTTCCAACAACCTACTGATTCTGTTTGGGCTGAGCTGCGGTGAAAGCTGTACATTCTGACTAATTGACACTAAGCTAGCTGATAATAACTAACTAAGCGAATGCCCTATACAGCTGTATATCACATGTGAGCATAGATAGTGCTTATAAGGGGCGGACATTTCTCATTTTACAAAAGGTGTGTTGGGAGTCCAACATTGGATAGTGATATGACCTGAATAGTGGTTATAGCTGGTGGACATTTCTGTCTTTACAAGTTGGTTTTGTAAGGATGTTTTAGGGTGGTTTTAAAGCAATTTTGCTAAAGCCTTTTGAGCCGAGTTTATTTTTGTAGGTTGCAGCAATGGTGGAAGAGGAAAATTGCCGACGCTCCATCTGAAGCTGATGCTGGACCAACAGCAGCTATTAGTTGTCCACATGGACAACTCATGCCTGAGCAAGCAACTGGCGCTAAGCGGGTGCTTGTTCCTGAGAATTTTTGGCTATTCTTATATAAAGATGCCACTTCTGTACAAGACAACAATCTTCTGTTCTGCCCTACTTTTCCTTTAGACTCGGGAGAGTGTTCCGAATGCAGTAAGGAATTATCTGAAGTGGCTTGCATGGAGGACTCTATGAGGTTATTTTGTTTGTACATTGCTATTGATAAGAGCTAACATAGACAGATTTTAAATTATATTTTGTATTCATGCTGCAGGTTATTCAAACAAAAGCAGCGCCAGAGTCATGAGAAACTTTTCAGCGGGAAAAGTATGCCACTCTCTTTAGAATGCAACTACTTCTTAGTTCCTTCCTTTTGGATTTCAAAATGGAGAAATTACATCAGCCCAGCTGTCAAGAATTCTGATAAACCTGAAACATTAGATGTGGTAGTTGGTTCACTGATTTGTGAAAAGGTACACTGTTGCTTCATTTTCTCTTCAGTCATGTTTTGCATAGTTACATGATATAATTGAGTTCCTTCTGATTCAATCTAGTATACTAGTAGTATTTGGTTAAAATTGAACTTGCTTTTTAGGTATGCACTTATTTGAAAAGTTATTCTTTGCAATGTGATAGGGATTTTAGTTGTGAATGTAGATTCTTAACTCTTCAATTGCCATGCCATTTTTCCAATGCCTGGTTTTCACATATATGACATCAGATTTAATCCGTAGCAATTTCATGACAGATTTTGATATTTTCCCTCTTGTTTCTTTCTCAGCACTCGCGACTCATTGAAAGGCCTCCTGAACTGGTTTTCAGACGCGGTACTATAGTTCAAAAAGAGTCTTCTGTAAGTTGAGAGAAAATACTTGCACTCCCTTCTTTTTGCATATCAATGTGACTGTTAGTGTGTTCTTTCTCCCTGTCTCCAAGTCTTACTTCTGTCCACTTTATGGGTTCTAGGCAGGTGAGTTAACCCTCATATCTGAGAATGATTGGAAATGTTTCTGCGTAGAATGGGGTGCTACAGAGGCCAAAGGAATATCTGTGAAGATTGAGAATATTAGTGATTCTATGATTGCTATACCTGGATCTTGTAAAGAGACGGCGATATGTGATGACCAGTTGGCCAATTGGGATAAGGTGAATAATGAAAGTGGGAATGCTCAAATTTTGATCAAGACTTGTCCTGAGGTAATCTAAAACTCTACCAACAGTCTTTGGATATGCTATTTCATGCCCTGATTATGATTTTCTCGTGCCTAAGATTTTTGGAAGCCAAATCTTTCAGAAATCAGAATTACATATATTATTTTTTGATGAACTTAGCTTCAATATGTTATGGACAACTAGTTGTAAATGGTTATATGGTATTTTATTTTAAGTTATATGATGCTAAATGTTTATGCTATGTTCTTGTTGTACCTGCAAATTTATGTTCTTGTTTATTCAAATATTCTTATTTGCTATTTTCATCACGTGCACAGTAAATAACCTCTGAAAAAACAGTAATACTGTTGCATATTTACAAACAAAAGCGGCCAAGCCTTTAAAAAGTTGCTTCTGGATGTGTGTATGTAACTTGGTGAAAAGGATATTGTACTGCGTATTAATTTAATTGAAACTTGGAAGTTGTATTTTTGTAGCTTATTCTTCCAAGTCTACCTTGTTATCCACTCATTTATATCTCCCACACAAATTCCATAACCAACTTACCTCAATTATTTTTTAAATTTATTCTAAACCTTGATTATTTTTGAACTAAATTTACTGGAAATATTCTTCTCTCTATTGGATGATATATTCAATATCTGCGCTTCTGAACATTCAGGTTTGTGAAAGTTGCATTGGCGAAAAGGAAAGCTGTGAGTTAATGCATAAGCTTAATTATTGCAATGAGGATATATTTGTAGTACTTGTTCGTGGAAAGGAGGTCCCTAGATCAATCTTGGAGGCTTCAAATGTTGTTGAAACAGATAGAAGAGTTTCTAAGCGCTCCCGAAAGACTAAAAGTGGGAGTTCAATTAATCTTAAAGTTTCTGCTTCAACATCAATTTACCATCTAAAAATGATGATATGGGAATCCTTTGGGGTAAGCCAAGTCTGTTCTGTATTGATATTATTTTGTAGTTTAAATGTTAGCTTGCTAAGTTCACACTGTTAAATTGGTTAGGAGTTTCTCAATCATTCAGGCATAGAAAAATGATAGAATACAAGATATTTTCTTACCAAAGCAATGTGCTTCATCCATTTTTATTCTTGGATGGAGGAGTAGCCTCTACTGCTGCTCAAGGGCAATTGAGCCCCTAATTGCTTAAATCTACAAATCTCTTAAACACAAGGTAAACACTTCATGTCCTATAGTTGAAGTTCCAGCTTCATGTCATCTTATAGCATAAAAGGGCAGATTGTTGGGTAGATCACCATTACATGTAGTCCAAGCTGGACCACATTCTAAAACCCTTGTGTTAAAGCAAACTTACAAGATCTTAGTATGTTTTTTCCAATACCGGATTGCCCCGCTCTCCCATAACTCGCCCTCTCCCTTCACTCTATTGTTCACGTTGGCACCTCCACAGCCACTGCTTCACAGATCCTCCTCCCTCTGTATTATGTGTTTCTGTGAAAGCATCACATCACAATGAACCTAAACTGACTTGTAGTAGATGGAAGTTAGGTGTGATTACTCGCTAAACTGAAAATAGAGATGTTTGTGTAAATTTTGTTCTATTTTAAAAACAACCATGGATTACTTTGTGCATTGCTGTAATCAATTCAGTGCTTTATAATGTCTCTTACTTTTTATTCCCACATCTGGTAATTGTTCCAGGTGGTCAAAGAAAACCAGATACTACAAAAAGGTGATACAACAATTGATAACAATGACGAAAATGCTACGCTTGTGGATGTTAACATATTTGCTGGAGATCAGATTATTGTGAGGGACTCTGAGATCCATGAAAATCGAGATATTGCTGGTAACCTGTACTTGATCACTTTATCTTCTTTTTTTCCTTCCTTTTTCCTTTTATATATAAAATGGACATATTCTACTTTTGCAGATGAGCTGTGTACTGAGAAAAAGGATACACAGAATACAGAGGAAGGGTTTCGTGGAACACTTTTGAGTTCAAATCTTTCATCTTTTCTTTAGGAACCACAATTTTCATTGAGATAATCTTGTGACATTGATTATATGCATATATATTCTTCAGGAAATAGAACAGTTGAGTGAGAAAAGAAATGGTTTGGTAGAGTACAACCATGTATATAAATCCTCGTACCTAGTTGGTGTGTTTTGGTCTTACGCCAAAGCAATGGCAAATTTTGGAAATATATTTCTTTTTCTATTTTTATGATCAAAAGCATTAGTAAATCTAACTATAAGCTGGTTAACTAAGGTTTTAATAAATGGGTTCACAATTTCAAATTGGCTGAACGAGACCAATTTTTTTCAATGCAAGGATCACTTCCACCATCGATATCTTCTCTATCTTCTTATCACTAAAGTGTTTCTACTTTTATTATTCTCTAAGAAGAATATTGTAGTTGAATTATTGCAAATTATATTTAATGATTACTCGATATATTTTACAAACGCAAGGCTAGAAATGAAGTTCCCCAACCATATAGCTTGTGATGTAGCTTTGTAGAACATGGTGGATAATGCATAGACTTTTTAGAATTAGAATATCCAAGTATTTTTTAATTCCTTGAATATGCCTCATAACTTAAGTCATTGTTGTCAATATCAATACATCACAGTCACAATATGGAATGAAATGAACTAATCTAGAGAAAGAGTAGAATGATCGAATAATAACAGGGGGGATTTTGATTCTTTGATAAAAATATTGACAAGGAAAACTTGGCATAGGTAACTGTTACTAATTTCTCTCGTATTTTATTTCTTTGAGGAAACTATTGAATTGTGAATGAGTTCATAGATCACTCAAAAAAGAAAAAATAACTACATATCAATATTTTTAAATCCAACGTTTATGATTTCGAGAGTTGTGAGCTCCTCCGAACCATCGATCCCAACCAGTACCAGCATCAACCGAACCTTGAATCCTGCAACCATGTTACATGTCATCAAGAAAACACAACAGCAATGAGCATCAAGAGTCAAGATGATCTTAATTTTACCATGGAAGCAGAGGATCTGGATTAGATTCAACGCTTGAAACGACCCTGCAAATTAATTAAAAGCACAGTGAATGGACCATTCAATCATGAAAATAATATAGTATTTGTTCTATTTTTGCTTTGCTTACTCCTTGCATATGATGGAAGATTCACCTATTGTTTCAAGTTTTTCCAACTCTTCCTGCATAATCAGTTTCAATATCAATTTCTTCTAGTTAATTATTAAATAAGAGAAATGAGATAAGAGTTGACCTGCAAAATATTGATTTGGTTATTGAGGTTAGATATGGAAGCTTGTAACCTATGTTTACCATAGAAGCCAGGGAAAGAAACAGTTCCAACTTGTGTAAAAGGATGATGATGAGGAGGAACTTTTTCTTTCTTTTCTATGAATTCTTCTGATTCTCGTCCATTTTCTGCATCTGATAGCACCTCTATTGATTGTTGCCTATCCATGCCTTCAACCACCCAAATACTAAGTAATTATTGTTATTACTATTATTATGAAATGAAAACAAGATAAAGCAATTGAGAAAAGGGTTATAACTTATAATAATATGGTCAAAAAAGGAGGGTGGAAAATGACTTCAAGTGGGAGAGTGAACCAAAAGATATTAAATAAAAAAGAGGAAAGGGACAAGGGGAGGTGTCACAGGGTTTTGTTTGTTCTGAAAATTAGCTAGTGTACATCTATTTATTTATTTTAAGGGAAATACTCTTTTGGTATTAAATAATTAAATGTAAAAGTCAAATGCATTTCTCTTCAAATTTCTATTATATACTTTTTTTTTTGTTTATTTAATATTCTATCTATTTATTTTTATGTGTTATAGATTGATTTTTTATGTGTATTACGGCAATCAGTAAATTTTGTTATATTTAGTTTATATAATATTTATAATTATTTATCATCTTTTTTTTTTTTTTTACCTTTCTCTATATTTTTAATATTATATTTACATTTGAAAATGATAAATTAATAAGAATAGAATTAAAAGTAAAAGTAATCATAAACTAAAGAGAGAAACAATTTTTTTATTTATAAAAAAGATAGATAGGATTAATTATATTAAGATTTAATTCTAGTTTTGGTTAGAGGTATTCAATACAAACAAATTGAGAAAACATGAATATCACATAGAGTTAAATTTTAATTAATGTGTTTGAATGTCGATTTGTAAAATTATTATATTTTTTAAATCAAATCATACATTTATTTTATTAGTATGATATATTTTTATTAATTTAATTTTTATTTATTTAGTATGTTTCAAAAATTAAGGCAAAAGATCATTAAAAAGAAGGCAAGAAAAAAAAGAGTCATACACATATTTTAATTATGGAAAAGAAAGTTTAACAAATACAAGAGAAAACCACTGAGATAATAAAAAAATTGTGAAAAAGTCAAGGAGAAATTAGATGACAAAATATTTATGATGATTGACTAGTAGTTTCTAAACAAAAATAAAAGAGAGTCAGACACATTTTAATTATGAAAAAGAGAGCATAATAAATACAAGAGAAAATCATGAAAGTAATAAAAAGATTTTGAACAAAAATAAATTTCAAATGTTTGGATTAAATGAAAAGTGAGAATTTGAATCAATGTGTCAATTGTATAATGTAGAACTTGGAGTGGTGCAACATCATCAACATGAAAAAACACAAAAAATACAAACTTGTGAATCGTCCAAAACAACAACCTAAAGATAATTTCCCTGGAAAAAAAAACACCAACTACACATGTTTAAATTTTCACTTCTCGTTCATGATAAAATACAATCTCAAAGAAGGTGTTCTCCTTTCAACACATGAGAAATACAAATATAGCCCTCCTACCATTTATAAAAAATTTCATAGAATAAAATCCACCCTGTCATCTAGAGTATCTAGAGTATCAGAACTATATCACATTCAATTTTTGAAAGACTTTGATCCATCAAACGATTTGACTAATAAAAAAAAATTGATATGAATGATAATGAATCATCTCAAAAGTATGATAAAGATGCATAAGAAAATACAATGTACTTTGTTGCGAGACACTCCATACTCAGGAATTTGCTTTTGTTATTATTTTTGTTATGATTGGTTTTGAAGACTATAAAATTCTAGTGTAGAATATGAAATGCTTTATTAATCGCAAAATCATTACCATATGCGAATTTTTTTTAAAGTATTTCAAGTTTGATTTGATTGTTCTTTGTGAAACTCGTAATTTTTTTAATCTCTTCTAAGATATTTGGGAAGAAGGAAGGTTATATGTTATTGATATAAGAGAGAGTGATGAACACTCAAATGGTCTATGGGTTTTACATAATGGCACTAGATTATATTTATTTTTGGTGATCAAGAGTGCAATTCAATGTGTTACTTTTAAAGTGGTTATGGATTTAAGTCTTGAGTTTGTTTAAGAGTTTATGTTAGCCCACGCTTTGGATGAAAGAAGACTTGTGGACTATATTTGTGACTTAAAGACTCATATTACTTAATCGTAGATGTTATTGAGTGACTTTGTGTTTCATATATTTATTATTCATATTTTATAATAAGCATTTAATCCTTAGCACTTTCTATTTTGTTATCAAGTCTGACTGAATATATCCAAAGGCACATCTCTTTTATGCTACTTCTGTTTATGGTAAAATATTTCATAAGGCTATACTTATTTCGATTGTTAATCAATACAATTTTGAGTTGAAGAAATTTAACGTAAGGACCAAACTTTTATATGGGAACCTAGAAGAGACAATCTACATGTAACAACCAAAATGTTTTGTAGAGGAAAAGTCTAAAACTTATCTTTTTGAAGAAATATTTGTATGGGTTGAAACAAATCTCGAGGTAATGATATCATCAATTGGATGAGGACTCGACAAAAGAATTGACAATTTTCTTATTAAAATTGTTTTAGGTCGGCCAAAAGTCCAAATGAATAAGGTTCAACCCACCTCAAGCCCACTTCACTCCAAAACAATTTTTTTTTTCTTTTTTTTTGGTAGTTGCGATCCATTGGACATAGATCCCATCTTTAATTTTTTTTTGATTCCTTGCATTTTTTTTTTGTAGTTGCGATTCGTTGGACATAGATCCCATCTTTAATTTTTTTTTTATTCCTTACATTTTTTTTTGTAGTTGCGATCCGTTGGACATAGATCTCATCTTTAAATGATAAATTGGTTTCTCCATAGGAACTCTTTTTTTTTAGTAAAACATTCTATTTTTATCCTACTCCTACCGTAATAGAGAATATAGTAGAAAGAAATAGATTTGATTTCTTTCTACTATATGGTTAATCATAAGCTAAAAGCGAGGTACAATTTGTGATCTTCATTTTCACTACACTTATCTTGAATCTTGAACTAACTTGGACGTTGGAATGCTAATCGTGTAAGTCCACCCTGCACCTTCGTAAAGGAGCTCAAAGCAAATGTTCAAAAACATCAGTTTTCCAACTGAATCCAGTTATAGTTCTTGAATGGAATAATGAATCTGTCTTTAGGAATCAACTTCTGATTCCTACGATTACAACAAATTCACATTCGCTTTCCAACTCTATCGTGCAAGCATAAAAGACTTATATGGATTCTTATAATTTTAGATATAGTTTCAGATTTACCAGTTTGTAACCTTCTTTGGTCATCGAATCAAGAGAGAATTAACTTTTGACTCATACCTTTTACATGATTTCATATTTTTTTCGACTCCAACATTTGCAACTTCTTCAAACCTCAGAACCAAGAAGCGCTCAAAAGCTAACACATAGATATGTCGCAATCGTTTCGATCAATCAGCATTTCTACTTCAATTCCTTAAAATTCATATCTCTGATTCTTTCTACAACTTTGTGAAGTAACAAAAGAAAGGTTTTCAGATCCAGATCTAGGTTTACACCAGAGTTTGAAGGTAATTTTCATGAAGATCAAGTCGGAGGTTCATGATTCATCTTTCGATCTAACATCACCAGTACTTTCCACCGCTACTGAGGTACTCAACATGGCGACCTAAAAGATACTACAAGTTCATAGTTAATGACGTTTAGATACTGCAAGTTCATAGTTAACATTGGGCGTCAATCCAATATTGAGGTACCTCCCATAATTACCACAAGATTTTCACTTGATACACTAGGGTCTCCTCGGGCCAGATCAAATAGTAGAGGTTTGCCAAGTATGCCCAAAAAAGGGTACTTCAGACTCTAATTGTTAGAAGATTGGTCGATAGCTACCTCTGGTCATTGCTCGGCATCCCCATTCCAAAGGAAACACTGGACTGAATGAACAACCCTTATTTCTTTTATAGAGGTCGGAGGAACGGGCCAATCAAAGATTTTCGTCCATACTCAACCACCCTCATGTGTCTAGAGAAAGCCGACCACTAGACCAGATCACCCATAAATTGGTTGCCAGACACCTGTAAGCCGCTTCAGGTAGATACTCACTCCGGAATAACATTGGAGCCAAGATGTTTTAACCATGGTCTTCAGGGAGCACGCGTCATAGTATTTCGTCGAATTCAGTTCCCGGTTCAGAGGTTTCAGCGTTAGTCCTCAAGTTACGGCCCCAGAGAAGGCGACCTTCTAATTATACGTTGGCTAACCAATACAAAGCGAGTTACTTCGATATCCCGTACAACCAAAGAGGATACCTTTAAGAATGGAGGTTCATCCTAGAACCCAAAAGGATTATCTTTTACCTCGGAAGTCCCAGGAAAAGACAAATACCAAAGACTACAGACGACGTCTAACCATATTAGAGTCTCCGTTGAAGGATTTTCTACCTATTCATTTCATTGTTTCTCTATAATGAATTCAATTCATTATTAATATAAATATATATACATATTTTATTTGTTCCTATGTTACATGCTTCTTTGTTTCCCTTTTCTACTAGAATGCTTAAGATAGGGGGAATAAAGATGAAATCCATAATTCTGTATCTGATACACACTTAACACATTTCTACGATTTTGATATGACTTAAACACATTATTTGCATGATTCATATCCATAACACATTTCTACGATCCTGACACGAATTAAATGTATATCATGCCTGACCCCGTATCTGATATAGACTATAATGTTATATTTGTAAAGGTCATAAACAAGGGTGAATCTCGTGTTCCCACTTAAGGGTGCTTTCTCATAGGCGGAATCCCCACAGAACAGGGGGGTTCTCCCTGAGATTTGATGATGTGTATAAACACCATTATCCCTCATTAGTTAGAATGGAAGGAGTCCACCATGATTCCGCAGAGAATAAATGGTCAACAAACCCTTTTTGGCTATAAGGGAACATTTACAACCCTTACGAGTTTAATAAACCTTATGTCCATTGGCCTCTATAAATACCTCAACTATAGGGTTGAGAAATACATATCATAACTCAGACCGAAACTAACACAAAGCATGACATTGATGCATATCCTCTCACCTAACGTGAGTAGGTCCTCTA